GTTCTAGTCATTCAGTAATTATTCTAACTCTAAATCGGTTAATTTATTTGGATTGCGAATATTTATTTTATCAGACATTGTGTAACATTCCACTCTAGCGTTATGATTTCAAAAATCAAAAATGTCTGACACCAGCTTATATTTACTGTACTGTGTGCAAAAAATATAAGAAAAATTGTACCCCACACGGTACGACGAAGGTTAAATTATAACAGACTCTCAGAATTAAAATTTTACTTCCTAGAACATTTAAAAAGGCTGCTAGTTAATTGGTGAGCAGTTGATATGTACTCGCGAAATATAAATAATAAAAGGTGCATGTTTGACATGGATTTCTTTTCTATTCTTTTCCTTTTTATTAAACTGTTAACTATGACTGAGTGATTTACTCCTATAATATCATATAATTATTATACGGCAATTGTGGATTAAGTGAGGAAGTATAACTTCAATAGACATTCGTTACTGCGATCACTCGAAATAGGAATCAATGAAATTGCTATTCTATTTACAACAACTGTATTTGTAAAAAAAAGTCTAAAAGAAATTTGATTTAGATTCTGGATAATTATAGGCGCAAAATCAAAGAAAACGTAAAGTTTCCTGTGAAATGAATCGCTAATAACCAATACCCGTTCGTTGGGAAAATGATTCCAAAAACTAAACCAATTGAAAGAATTTTAACTTGACTTGTTTTTAAATATTGCGATAAGGAACAGGACTGCTATTAAAATAGTCATGGATGTTTCCTTGATCTAGTTTTTTTTATACTTGTGATGGGCGGGTACACCCACCGATAATAATATTCACCTTTTTGAACCATTCTTCGGTCGGTGACATACAAAATTCAGTATTTATTAAAAGTGTGGGCACCTAAAGATTTATGTCTCGAGTGATCCAATTTATATTCATACGTAACTTTAGCATTTCTGAATGGGTTCATAAGCAATATATCACTCTGCAAATTCAGAGCATTCACGACCACAACCTGCAATAGTAAAAAACGAGCCAGTGTTTTGGGTTGTTGCGTTGAGACGAATGACAATATCTTAGCACCAACGGCGAATAGTTTTTGTCCTATCAGATACGAATCGGTTATAAACTACAATTAAGTGATTTGTTCGTTATAAAAGCACTTGGTCATTTGATGCGAACGACAATATAAATTAAAACCGTCATCATAATGAAATTACTGAGCACCAGACCTAATCACCTGATTAAATAAACTTTACGATGTGCCAACTTTAAAACAAAATGCCTTGAATAGGCGAGTGCCGCATTGTATCTGGTAGTAATAAACTGGCGGCATTTGAAAAATCCAGGACACCGACAGCGGACATTCCAAGGCCCGATATTATTCTTATGGAACATTGTTTGTATATTCCACGTAAAAAAATTCATTTTTCGGGCCCAGTATTGTCTCATTATTGCAAACTCTATAAATCAGTAGTGGGACTGCGGGCGTCATAGAATTCTACGACCGGTTATCCGCTCGGCTTAGATTTTTGGTTAGTTTATGAACGTTTCCGTACCATAGAATAAGAGATTTTTTTACAGTGCATGTAAGTAATACTTGTTGGTGTTTTTATTTGTGCTTTCGATTTGGTTAGCGTTTTATGTCAATATTATTATTAATTAATTTCTTATTGAAATAAGCTATAAATATTAAATAGCATAGCGTCTTCGCTGATAATTCGACATGCGGGAGTTGAAGTTAAGTTTTTACTTTTTTTCAGTTTTCTGAAACTTGTCCGTGAAAACCTTCAAAGTGAATTTGATTGTGTCCTCGCAAAAAGGTTATAGAGGTAGGCCGTAGATGACACAATGGGTACCGGGTGTCCCCAACACTCAAGACGGACATGAACATTATTATCAGTTTCGAGATCATTCTGCTTCATTTTACAGTTGCACAATAAAGCTAAATCCAAAATAAGTGTAATATATTATATATTATAATCATAAAAGTCATGGGGATACCTAATTAAATTTCGTTCCACAAGAACTTTTAACTCTTCATATATTGAAAGTGTCTAAGTACTTCAAGTTAACTAAACCTCATAGCTACTTTATTTTCTAAACTGTTTATTATTAACCAATAATACTGTATATATTTAAACACTTAATCTTACAGATTAAATATCATTTTCTTTAATTTAAAGTCTTTCATCGAACAAGGACCACTGTCTTCTTTGACTCTTACAAAATACATTAATTGGGTATTGAATAAAAGTATATTTTTATTGCTATTATTCATTGCCAATATTTGATAATAGTTAAGTAATTAAAGAAGTAAAAGTAAAGTAAGTAAGAAAAAGAGGCCAATCATTTTGCTTGCTGGATTGATTGCATTGTTCCCCTTTAACATGGAGTTCGTGATTGAGGTTTTAATTTCCATAATTACTACACACCTGCAAACGCTGCAAAGTAGTTTGTAATACACGCTTTACCTAGAACCAAACATTCTAAATCTGCCCACGATTCGCGATAACAGACAAACTCAGTGCACGTCAATTGGAATTGCGTGGGTTTCATAGAAGAATTCGAATTACTTTACCTCTATTACAATATACAAGCCAATGGGCACCGTATTCTAATTCTAAGCATTTGTAAGTCCGGTACCACAAGTACAAATACGTTAACACTCCGGTTTAATCTTATTGCGAGTAACGTTCCAGAACTAAAACCATTATAGCCCGCTGAGCTGTATAGGAAAAATTGTATTGTAATAAATAACATACGGATTTGTTCGTCTACTAGTACAGTACAGCAGCCACCAAGTTGATATTTATCACATTTTTTTGTTTTTATAAAAATTCCTAACGAAATCATTCATATATTAATATTAACATATTAATTACATTTATTATAAAGCCTACAGCAATAATTTGATTTTTTTCATTAGTTTGAAATGAGTGCATGCAGTTTTAGGGAATTCTTGATCATTTGTATTTGCAACAAAAATTTTGAAAACATCTTTTTTGTACTCCCCAGATTATGCGAGGCACTTCCGACATTACTGGTACTTTAGTCATGGGTTTAGAGGCGGTCGGATATATTTAATTTTAATTCTGATGGCTACGGCATAGTGAATGCATTCATGCTATTTTGTAAAAAGTGTCCCAAAAAACTAATAGTCGTAGGAAAACTTACACCACTTTGATACGGTTCTTCAGTAGTTACTTGTTTATTAACGACAATCATTAACCAAACTCGTAACTAAAATTCCACCAATAATGTGTATTTCTAAATTTTAAATTTAGCAGATAATAAATAATATCAACCGATATATAAATGTTTTGTTGCTAAAGAAAATATTGTAAACATACATGTATGCATTTAAAAAAATATTTCTTCTTTCGTCTGTATTTAAATTGAAACATGGTGAGATATAGAGATAGAATAAAAATTTTCATTTAGTTTTTGTCTACCTTTGGTCCACATAAAAGTAGCTTTAATATATCAGACATGTCTTCTTATCCTAATTTATCCTTAATCCTGATCGTTAATGTCCCAGGTATGCATATTAGATTTATTGCGGGTGAGTTATATCTTTAAAATGCACGCCAATATCCAATGTTTTGAATTTAGTTTCAAACAAATATTTTGCTCAAATAATGATTCATTTTAGGCATACGATAGTGGGGTATGATAATGACATTTTAAGGGTTTCGTTATCTTTGCGCCCATTAATTGGCAATAAACAAATCGATTGGCCAGTCTCATCTTAAATACCCTTTCTCGGCAGCGCACTTGATCATTAGGGTTCAATTACTCTTAGGGGTAAAAGTATAAACGAAACTGGTCTTGGGCAGTTGATAATTCTTTAGCAGTGTTTAAAGGTGTGTGCTATGTATCAGTGTGAACCAGCGTCATACCATTATCGACAATTTCCAACCGATGGCAATTTCGCACATTCTGGCATGCCATATCATGTACCTTGGGTAAGTCATTTTGATTTAGTTTGTTGAGTGCCCTAACATTTCCCAAAATAATTAGTGTGTGTCTACTTTTATATGATATCAATATCATCAATACAAATTATATTAAGAAATGATTGTTGAACCAAATAATAGAGGGTTTAACCAAAAGCTTTGACAGATTCCATCTGTGAATTCTAAATATAATCAGGAAGCGTTTTTTTTTTAATTGTACTGTAGGGATCTATATTTCAAAGCACATTTTTGCGTTGAGTCTTGAAGCAAATAAAATGAGAAACAGTCAAAATAAAACTTTCTCCCAGGCTTTTCTTTTGTCTTTTGTAGATTTTCCTCTTGAAAGGTTTAGCATAAAAACCACGGCACGATTCTCATCTTTTCTTAAGTGATACATAAACAGAACAGTTGCCGTTGTATTTGTAGGCTTTTCCTTCAAAGTCGATACCCTAGTGAATCCATAAAGGAACTACTTTTTTAATGTAATATCAAGAAATATCACAATTATACAAAGAATACAGGAAACTCACATGAAAACAATGCAACTGTTCCAAATTGCATTTACGAAGTAGGTTAGTAGTCTCATTGATTTGTAGACTTTTCTGCTAATTAAATTAATTGCGAGATATAGATTGCACAATTTCAGTTATTGCAATGATCAACAGAGCATTTCTTAATAATGTCGCATGTATATACAGGGCGTTTCACATACAATTATCTTGAAACGTATTTGATTGACGAAAATAAATTACATACAATTAAATTTTTTTTTGTAATGCCATAACACTTGCTTAGTTCAGGTAAAAACCGTATAGAGTGACATCTATGTCACATTTTATTAAGTATAGGTGGAATATGGTATTTAACATTATCTTTTTCTTCCTTTGCTTTTTCGAATATTTTCGACATGTTCTTTTAAGATTGACTGATTTTACCTTTTACTTTAAGTATGTAGCTAATTCGCACCAATCTTGTTCAAAACCATTTATTATCTTTCAATAGCATCAACCAGTGCCTTTCTCACAGAACGGGTTATGGAATCAGCCAAGGTTTTCGGATGGATCAATAATGTCATTTCAAAGCCATCATGTTCAGAACAACCCGTTAGTCTATACAGATTTGTATCAGGCTGGTTTACCACGTAAGTAGATGCAAAGTTATTCGACCAACACTACTTCCCATAATGAAAATCAAGTGATGTATTTCAAATTTCAATTTTTCAATTGAGATCTCAGTAACGGTAAAAGATACAGGGCAACACAATTCGATGCAAACTTACTGGCAATTGGATATTGTTTAAAACCGGTCTTCATCTATAGTACTTCTGGAAATATGCCAGGATTTGAAAAATATTTTAATTGAATTTCATTAGAGATTAGATCCATTCCGCGTCCTTTATCCTTTCTGATATGCTAATAGTAAGATTTAAATTTGAAATGCTCTATATACCATCCCTTATTTCCAAACTTAGTGCACTGATATGAAAATAATTTTCTATTTTAGCGATGCAGCTGCAGGGCGAAGGGCCATTCTTGACGATGTGTTACTTTCCACACTCCGACTTTGTAGTTCCGGCTCCGCCAGTTTCCAAATACACTAAGAAAAAGCGTAGATCATTTGTCTTACCGATTGTCGATCCAAAAACGGGTCGAAATATATTGGACGATATTTTTGTTCAAACAGATATTACGCATCTCTCATCAGCTAACGTGACGTCATCGAAACAAGAATCTCCAAGAAAAGAGGTATTTGATCGATAATAACGAATAATAACAATATTAATAAGCCATTTATTAAAAAAAAGCATATATGTTATTTTGGAAAAAAATATCTGAAATATTTTATACATATATTTAAAAAACTATATAGAAAAGTGCAAAAAGAAGAAAAATAAACTCTACAGAAATCTAAAACAAATTTAAAACCGCCACAGGGGTAATTTTAACTTCAAATTTAAATTTTACAATTTTTCTACCTATAATAATGTTACCATACAATGTTAAAGGGCAATTGAAATGTTAATTATATAAGTTAAGCCTAAAAAAATGTTTAAGATTATATTAAACGTGTTTTCAGTTATTATTTTATTAAGTTCGAGTGGAACTTGGTTGGAACTGGTCAAAAATCATGTAAAAACTGTAATAATAACGTGGAATCCAAAATTAACTTTTCCCCTAAATACGCTGCCTTATTTATTAATTTATTAAATTTTGACAAGATTTACATATAGTTAAACATACTATAGTTGAGGCTAGTCTTGTAAATTGTTCTGATTTCCTTAATAGTTGTCTTGTTTCAGATACAAGCCGGTGTGATTTCAAAAAGTAGACAAGAAAACTAATAATGATACTTTTACGTCGCCTGTATGCTCAAAAGAAAATTTGTAAATGCGTACCGGAAGCCAGTATAATGAAAAGAAATATAAATATTCTATACTTAATATTTTCTAACGTTGTTGAAGCAAGTTTGTGAATTTTCAGAAAGGAAGAGGTGTTCGATCGGGCATTTGGTGTGCCTTAGACCTAGTTTTGATTCAGAATATATTCAGCTGCTTTGCTGTTACTTCATTTTCGAATTGTTCAAAATAATAGAAAAAGGACTGCCTAGGTTAGAAATATTGAAGTTTGTATGATTTATATTTATATTCGAATCCACAAGTGCATAATATTACATTTTTATTATCTTAATATTAGTCACATTCAGATGTAATTTTAGTACTGTCATCCTAAAAATATATGTACGATTATAAAAATGATAATAATGAGATTGATCCTCTTTGAGGTGTTGCATGTTGTATATATATTTATTTACATAAAGTTTTATCCACGGTATTATTTTCTTAATATTTTTGTTAGTTCACCTTTAAATTGGCTGCACTAACAACCAGCAGTGCCGCATTGTCGAACCAACACATTTCAGGCCGTTTATTAAATTAAATTAGTTTTTTTATATTCAATTTATTATTACAAATTTGAAAAATATATACTACCGACTAGATGTGGTTTTATTTTGCAGGAATTTCCTTACAGCACTAAAAACGTACGTTGTAGGTTTGCCTTTCGTTTTTATTTAAACTAATATAAACACTACAAAATTTATATTTATAAATTTATTCTTGCATTCCTAAAAATAAAACATTACTTGCTTCAAAATCATTATTAAAACGGTGAAAATAGAATAGAAATATTAGACTTTCCATGAATTTATTATATCTCACGAATAATATCACGCGCATCATTGTTGGTACGTGGATACACCACACGGTTGCATTAGTTGTTGTACGTAAGTATAAAGCATTTCTTCGCCTACATCGAAGCACCACAATCCGGTACCCAATTAACTGTGCTAGATTATATACGATCATATTACCACTGAATTACGATACGACCCGAGAGAAAACTGTGTGCCGCGTTATCTCTTTCTAATCAGTGGCATGGTAGCTGGGTAGGGCGTGTAGTGTTTGTCATGGCCGCCTTTATGGCTCAACCTGATTTTTGGGTCAAAGATTTTTGGACATACCGCTAAATAATCCGTATGTAGTAAACGCCTTAATTGGCTGATGTATGACTTATATGAATGGAGCTAGTGATAAATAGAAATAGATTTACAAGTGACGACTAAGCGTTCTTCCGCCATTGACGTTGCAAACTTATGTTACGTTGATGTTACTCTCTAGACCGCGTATATCTACGTGTTCTAATTCCCTCTGCATTGAATATATATATATATATATATATATATATATATATATATATATATATATATATATATATATATATATATATATATATATATATATATATATATATATATATATATATATATATATATATATATATATATATATATATATATATATATATATATATATATATATATATATATATATATATATATATATATATATAACAAAGCAAGGGATAATTGTCCCGACGTTAGCTAATACACTTATTAGAACTGGAAAGTGCTTTGGAACGGTTGCACGTTTTTGGGAAAATACGAGTTTATCGTAAATAATAGAAAGTAGAGTGTTTAGAAACTTACAATTACATATAACCGCTACGAATATATGCCGCTGGTAAAATCTAATTTTTATATTTTATTAAATTACTTTATGGATACTTTTTATATAAAATATACCAGAATATTTTGTTTACATTTAAATTTGATGAAATTTATTCACACCTAATTTCAATCAAGGTCGATTACTTTATCTTTTCTTTTCGTCAGCTGTCAGATATCATCGTTTACTAATAAATCATAACTGCTAAATGTCAGAATTTAGAATTTCATGGAATATCCTTTGACTTTTAATTTTGCCGTAAAATTAAATGTGGCAGGATAACAACAAATGTTAAAGAAGGATAATTCTAAAACTTTGAATTTTTCATGCCTGTTTGAAACTTCACGTGTATCTTTGGCAAACACAAAACGGATCTGCGTTCTGCCCGATTGTCTTGTACTTAATTACACACTTTGACAAACCTAATGTTTCTAGAAAGAAAATCATTAGAAAATTCCAAGCAATCAGGTAAGTAAGTAATAAGTAACGCGATTTTCGAAATAATCGCCATAATTCTTAAAAACCACAATATCTTGACAAATTTTTATTATTTAGCTATGGCCTGCCCATGTTGTATAACAGTAATTACTTTTTCAAGACTCAAAAGAAGTTTTAGTGAATCTCTTTATGACCTATGGATAATATCACAAAAATTGTAAGCGTAAGCACTGAATATGTCTTGGCGAAACATATGCCAGATTCCGATCGGAATTCAAGAAACAAACAAATTATTAAACAACATTTCGAAATCCTTATAATTTCTACAATTCTACAACGTTTTAAATAACCTTATAGGATTTTAAACCCTTTACAGGGCGAACCCTTTGAAAAAGGGTTGTTTTGTTCATTTTTCGGTGTTGATCAGAATCATTAATTTTAGGCTATATTGTGTACCGTGAACCAAATTTATACAATCAAAATTTCAGCGTTTTGTGAGTGCAATAACTTAACAAATAATAACAAACTTAAGATTTGGAATACTGTACTAGAAAGGTATGAGTAAGTATCAAGCCAAATTAATCAGAAGAAAGCAATGAATCTAAAAATGTAGTAAAATGTAATATCATATATATAAGGATGCTATATGCTATGGTTAGAAGGGGCAAAGTTGACAGAACGATTTTTTTATGTTCTTCGTGAATTTCTAAACTACCATCGTCAGTCACCCAATATTAGATTAATTGTATAGACGAATTAGGTGTTCGTGTCATTGACAACCGTTCCTCTTCCTTTATTGTTTAAATTTGGAAATGTATTTGCTTTTATATCGACCACTCAGATAAGGAACGCGAGAGCATCGAACAAACGAACGCTTCCTTTGTTCGTTTTAAACCAAAGCGACCGAAGCGCAGTCTTAATCACCGAAGTTCGTTTAAAATATCAATTTGCCAGAGGGAGATTTAGCACAAAGATCTCTATCTATTTTTACAATAATTAATGAGCTCGTGTTATTAACTTTAATCGTTTCACTCCTCTGATAGCTTCGGTTCATTAGTCATCTCACGTGATAATGCAAACATGCAAAGTAAGTGTGAATGTTTAGAGGATGTAAACACGTTAAGCACCACACGAACGCCACATACCATGATTAAGCTATTAAAATAATTAAACAAGAGAGCGTTAATAATAACAAACAATGAGCTCGTGGGTGTCAAAAGTTACAATTTTATCCGTGGAAGAATCTACGGAAAGAGGTTTTTGCTGTTTCTCGCATCGATGGACGGGAATATAAGATGAACGCCGCGATTTATGTGTAGCTTTTGCGTTATATCATATAAAACGTAAATAATTTAACGCCTTGAAATTGTCGGGTAGGAGTGAGAATAAACTCCTCCACTACCTGACATAATATCGTTAACACCCACTAAACTATCGTCGTTTATTTAAGTATACGTTTGCCCGCCGGATCGAAGAAAATTTCTCATATTGCGCCGGTAATTTCGGGAAATTTTACGACATTAACGAGGCGTTGTAAGATAATTGCAGGAAACTGCGATTGTTCGCCAGTAATAAAATTATATTTTTGTCCGTTAACAATTGTCATTAACTTTAATCGTGTTACATGACCATAATTCTGGGGTTTTTAGTGTTTGCTGGGAGTGGGTACAAACTTTACAAAACGATTTTGGCTACTTGGGCCTCCAATTGTAATAAATCCCTGCTTTTCCAAACAGTTTTCTCCTTTTTCCTGTTCCTTATTTTACATCAATAAAGGTAGTCATTGTTGTTATTCATTCATATTATATTTCTTTTAACTCTGAGTTTTCTTTAGTTTAGTTTTTTTAGTTTAATTTTTTCAAAACCAAATTTTTCTGTTAAAAGAAAAATTATTGTGATTGTGTCATACTAAAAGGCAACAACTACAACACTGGCGAAAATTTTTAGAAAAAGAGTGCGGTGCTTCTGTCTGATCCGGAAGTATTAGATTTTATTCCGAACAAGACATTTTTACTTATGTCAAGTCTAGCAAGGCTCTGTATAAAAATGAATCAGCGAAATGTAGCGATTAATCATCTCCTTGCATTGCTGCTAACTATATGTACAGGCTGCACTTACCTACTCAAAATGATAAGCAACAAGCTAATTCTTTGGGCAAATTGCTATATCAGGAAGCTAACAAAATGCACAGGAATGCCACATGCCAATTTAGTGACCATTCAAAAATGATCGTAACAGTTTAGT